AAGGTAGGGAAAAAAAAGCTCACTAATGCAAATCCCACCTCCACCCTCACCCCCACCCCTGGGCCTCTTTAGGTGCTTTGTCTCACCCCAGGATTGCCTGAGTTCTTCACACCTCCCATTTGGCATATGAAGCAATAAATACACAAAAAGACACTCAACACTGTTCCCAGAGAAATGCAAAGTCAAATTATGCGGCTCATATTAAAAAGGCTGAGCCTTTCGTCACCCCTAGTGATGCCAAGAATACAGAGCAAGGGGCTCTCCCATGCAGCTCTGGTAGGGTTACGCAGTGATTCATTCACATCAGTAACCTGCTTAGCAGCTAAGGCGATTAGAAGCGCACACACTGGACTCCGCTCCCAATCCCTTTTCCTGAGCAAAGGAGGTGCTAGGAGAATCTTTTATTCTTACATTTGGGCTCTGACCCCAGTTCCGGATACAGAACTTCTAAATCCCTTAGAATTTCTTGGGTGACCAAGGTAATGTGTCTTGGGCAGCTGGGCAGCCTCCGGGTAGGGACTTGTTGCCAGGGGAACACATATGGGATTAAAGGTTTGGGACTTTTAGACCGTCTCTATCTTTGGGGAGAGAAGAGGGCACACCCTAAGGCACAGTTAATTACAATGACTAATGATGCAACTGCAAGCCTATGGAATGAAGCCTTCATGAGATCCCACCTCTCCACAGTCCTAAAGGCCAAGCATCCCCTTGCATATCTACTTGATCTGTCTGTCTGTCTCTCTCTCTCTCTCTCTACTTTAGAACAGGTGTGTCATTACAGTGAGCTCCTCAGTCAATTCCCTAGAGAAGGGAGAGGTGCCCCAGCCCTCTATCCTGTTGAGCTTTGTGTATCTCCAAATATGATACCTCCAGGCAGATGTTTACAGAGGTCTGTGTACTGAGTAACAACAACCAGTATTTACAGAAGGCTGTGCCAAGTATGGTCCAGGTGCATTTGTTGCATTATCCAGTGTTACTATACTATGAGGCAAGTACTCTTTCACAGATAAGAAATCAAGGCAGGGAAGTTAAATAAGTTGCCCAAGATGTTGCGGAGAGTAAGGGGCAGAGTCAATATCACACCCAAGGTACTGGTGGGCTTATTTTCTCTAAAGGAACTAGGACAAGGCAGAACAGTATTCCCAGCCCAGCTATGCATTAGCACAAGCTTGGCAGGCCATCTTTAAAATGCAATATAGTTCTGGAAACATTAGCCAGAGCAATTAGACAAAAGAAAGAAAGAAAAGGAATAAGGCTATGAAAGGAGGGAGTTAAATTATCATTATTTTCAGATGACATGATACTCTACATAGAAGACCCCAAAAACTCCACCAAAAGACTTCTAGACTTAATAACCAAATTCACTAGTGTAGCTGGACACAAAGTCAACACTCAAGAATCAATAGCATACCTGTACACAAACAACAAACTCACTGAGAGAGAAATTAAGGAAACAAAACCTTTCACAATAGCATCCCCCAAAATGAAATACTTAAGGAATCAATCTAATGATGGAAGTAAAAGGTCTATATGTTAAAAATTACAGTAATCTGAAAAAGAAAATCTAAGCGGATATCAGAAAATAGGAAGATATCACTTGTTCTTGGGAAAGAAGAACCAATATAGTGAAAATGGCCATACTTCCAAAATTATTATACAGATTTAATGCAATCCTGATCAAAATACCATTAGCATATCTCACAGAATTAATGAAAACAATCCTAAAATTCATTTGGAACCAGAAGAGACCTAGAATAGTAACAGCAATTCTGGGCAATAAAGGCAAGGCAGAGGGCATCATATGTTAAAAACGCATGGTACTGGCAAAAAAAAAAACAAAAAAAAACAACAACAACAACAAAAAAAAGAACAAAAACAGACCTGAGGATCAGTGGAACAGATTAGAAGATGAAGAAACAACTGCAAACACCCGAGCCATCTTATCTTTGGTAAAAAGGACAAACACTTTTACTGGAAGAAAGATAGTCTCTAATAAATGGTGCTGGAAAAACTGGTTTTCCACATGCCAAAGATTAAACTTAGACCCATATGCTTCACCATGCACTAAACTGAAATCAAAATGGATCAAATATCTGAATATTAAAACAGAAACACTAAGTCTGCTGGAAGATAGAATAGGTAAAACTCTTAAAGACATTGGTGTAGGCAAAGACTTATGAACAAAACCCTAACTGCACAGGAACTATCACAAGAATCAATAACTGGGATCTCACAAGAATCAACAGCTGGGATCTCATCTTATTAAATAGCTTTTGCACAGCAAGAGAAATCACCAACAGAGGAAAGAGACAACCCATAGAGTGGGGAAAAAATTTTGCCAGCTATACCTCAGAGAAAGGACTATTATCTAGAATAGATAAAGAATTTTTTTAAAAAAATCATACTCTTCAAACTTAAAGACTCAGTCCAAAAATGGGCATCTGAAATAGACATTTCTCAGATGAAGAAGTAGAAATGGCAAATAAATATATGAAAAATGTTCAACATCAGTGGTCATTCGAGGGCAGATTTTAACCAGGAATCACTGTTGTAAGAGGGAAGAGTCTGGTATGAACTGAGCTCACTTTCTATTTGCACAAAACCAACTGGGGCTTATCCAGGAAGTTGAGGGCGGAGGGATGGATAAACACAGGTCAGCAGAGCCAGAGAAGTGAAAATTACTAAGGGCAGTCAGTCTAAAGGAGACCAGCCCAGCTATGTGAGCCTGGGGGATGATCAAAGTTAGACTTCCACCCTCCCATGGAAGGTGATCAGAGACGGCCCCATTCTCAGGTGTAGCTGGAACCAACTGAATTCTCTGGTAGCCTCGAGTTTCCTCAGGCAGGTGCTTTACCGGGAGAGAGGGTAATCTTAGGGATGTGACCTTGAGCTGTTAGAAACTATTCCAGTGTGTGGCCTACGCCAAAAAGAGGGCTCAGAGGAGCGTGGCTAGAGTTTAGTTAAGGAGAATCTTCATCAGCTTGTCACTTAGACCAAAGCAAAAAATAAAAAGCATATCAACATCCATTGAGACTATACACAGGGGCTTTACAAGGTTGAGGTAGGTACTATTATGTACTGGGAAACTGAGGCTCAGAAAGGTGAAGCCACCTGCCCAAAGTCACAGGGCCAGGAAGAATAGGGCTTGGATTTGAACCCAGGTCTCACAGACACTGGAGTTCACAGCCCCATTCTCCAAGCCCAGTCTCTGCTCCATCCTTTCTCGCACAGGCCCATCCTGGCTATGTCACCAGCCCACAGCACTGACTCTGGACTCATGCACGGGGCTGGACAGTAGCTCTCAGCTCTGGCCTCATGGTGGAACCCCAGGGGACCTCTGTATACATGACGCCTGCTTCTGACTTTAGCAGCTCTGGGGTGGTGAGTGCAGTGCAGCCTGGTCACAGGGGTTTTGAGGAGTTTTCTGGGGCTCCCTATGAGTGGCCAGGTTTCACCTGTCTGTCATCCCCTCAGTCCTTGGGAGGACCCTGCAAGAAAGGCAGGCAGTCGACAGTGACCATGTCTTGTAGGGGTGGCGGGCAGGTTCAGAGCATAAGGCGCACACTCGAAGTGTGATAGATTACAGAGAGTTTAGATCAAAAATCTTTATTAAAGGATATACTACCATGAATGCCCCTCAAGACCCTACCCCTGGCTTCACCCATACTCATCCCATTTTCCTCTCTTTCTGAAGCAGTCCCAGAAGTCCTCTGGGTATCTTCAGTTGAGCTGTCATGGTTGGCTCCGTGTCCTGAACTGATTCAAAACATTAACCTTTCATGTTTACTTTGACACTGGGAAAAAGCTAGAAGTTTCACGGTGCCATATATCATGCGTAAGGTGGATGAGGACGCGCTGTCGTGTTTTTAGGAGCCCGCCTCTCTGTCGGATGGCACTCAGCACAGTATTCACTGTGTTTTTTATCAGACCTTATAAAGACATAATGAGGACTTCCAGAGCTGCTTCTCAAAGTGGCAGGAATGGGGTGTGTTTGAAGCAAGGAGGTAGTATTTTGAGGATTCAGGATGATGTGTCTCTTGCTGTAATAAATTTCTTGGATCTAAACCCTCACAGTGCATCCAATCACCCCTTGTGGTTGATGCTATCTGTCTGATTCTAGGACCAGAACTTCCTGACCTCCAGCTGAGGGTCTGCTCAAGGCAACTGATTTACAGGGGCCTAGTTCAGAGGAAACCCACATCCCCAACACTGGAGATGAGTAGAATCATTGCTCTTGGACGTGAAGGTGCTTGTCACTCCTTTTGAACATAGAAGGGGGCAGGGCCTGGTTCAGGGGCAGGGCCTGGTTCAGGTTCAGGACCCCAAAACTGGCCAGGCTACTCTTGGAGACGGCAATATCTCCTCATCCCTCACCACACACCTGTCCAGCAGAAGTCAAGGGAGCCTGCAGCTCCCTGATAGTGGTGCCTTGCACAGCCAGTTTCTTCGGGGGTCTTTATTCTGGCTCCTGGGCACCAGGTGGACCTGTGGAGGCTACAGGGAGCCGCCTAGCATGATCGTACCTTGGTGGCTGGCACACCCTCGGGGGCTACCTCTGGGGTAAGAGGGCTCCCTGTCCACCTCAGGGGACTTGGGGGCTGCCTGCTCACCCTGGGGGGACTCATGGGCTCCCCATCCTGGGCAGTGGAAGGGCCACTGTCTGCACCTGGGACCCCCTCAGGCCCCCTGCACTATTGGGAAAGATCAAAGTCATCCCAGCCTTGGAAAAGCCCCCCGGGCCTGAGGTAATGGGGGCTACCATGGCTTAAGGCTCAATTCCCCGAGAAACACTCTAAATAGCATAATGGGGGCCTGTGACTGCACAGAGGTCAGTACAACAGGCTAGGCAGGGACTTGGGGGGTGGGGTGTCACTGCCCACGAGACCCCGACCAGACCCGGACCTTGACCTGGAGACCGGGACCCCGACCTAGTCCCGGACCCCAAGGCAGGGCGGGGCCTCGGCTGCGGGCAGGGCGGAGTCTTGAAGGTTCTGGGCGCTGTGTCGTCACCGTCGCCATGGTCGTCACGGTCGCCACCGTCGCCACCGCCGTCACAGCGCCCGCCCGCACCGATAAAACCGCGGGGAGCCGGGCGGGCGGGCGGGCGAGAGGCGCCAGCGCCGGGGCCGTGACGGTGACAACGGTGACGCCGGCCGGGGCGCAGGGACCGTGGCGATGGTGAAGGAGACGCAGTTCTACGACGTCCTGGGCGTAAAGCCGAGCGCGGCGCCCGAGGAGATCCGCAGGGCCTACCGGAGGCTGGCGCTGCGCTACCACCCCGACAAGAACCCAAGCGAGGGCGACCGGGTGCGGGGACGGGGACGGGGCGGGGGAACGGGGAACCGAAGGGGACAGGGAGGGGGACAGGGGCCCAAGGGCGCCGAGGGGAGACAGAAGACCCAGCAACCGAGGGGGGAAGGGGGCACGGAGTAGAGGGGAAGGAGCAGGGACAGAGGTCCCAGAGGGCTGAGGGGAGATAAAGGACTGGGTAACTAGGCAGGGTGCTATGCGCTTCCACCCCGACAAGAACCCCAGCCAGAAAAATGGGGTCCAGGTGCAGGTGCCTGGGATGGGGGGAGGGGGCCTGGGACCAAGTGGGGCAGGGTGGACGGGACAGGGGACCACAGACCAGATGCAGGGACCTGGGACAGGGATGGGTTGGGGGGATCAGGAGGGTGGCAGAGGTGGGGGACACCGGGATCAGGGTGATCCTATAAGGGCACTGGCCGGCCTGCTGGTGGGGGCAGGGACCAAGACCCTAGTACCTGCTGGTCTCCGTCATCCTACCAGTGGCTGGGGTCCCGATCCCCGAGTCTGGGCATGGAGGCTCTTGTTGGGCCCCCATGGGACACTAGGGCAGCAGCAGAAGTGGGGTACCAGCTGACACTGTGGGGACTGGGCTGCGTTGCGCTGGGTTCTCTGTTGATGCACTAACAGTGGGCGGCCTGCTTTGCACACACCCGGGTCCATCCTAGAGCTCCCTCTTGCCCACCCAGCTTGCAGACATGGAGGAATCTAAGACCCACACAGCTACTTGACACGCGTGTTCCGGTTCCGTTGACCACAGTTGATCTTGAGTGACATCATAGATTGGGCGTGCCGGGTCTTAGAGACCTAAATTAAACTTTTCCTGTCGTTTACAGCGACATACTGCCTCTGTCCTAGGACAATACAGCCTACCTGAATACGTGACTTGGATCAGTCATTGAAGGACAGCCAGGTCTCCCTTTACTCCTGGCTATTTTCTTACAAAACTCTGGGGATCCTGGAGGGGCCAGAACAGCTGATAGCAGTGATCCTGGGCCGCTTTTAAAGCCACCACCACCATCTAGCCTTTAGACCTGTGGCAACAATACATGGATCAAAAGACCCGCCTGCGTTAGTCGTTGCCAGCTGGGGCCAGCTGCTCAGGGAAGGTCGGCTGGTGGACGAGTGATAGAATATTTATATTTAACCTTGTGCCGAATGTGACTGTCATAAGTTTAAAATGCTTCTGTGCAAGATCGTTCGTCCCTCCCTGCTGGCGTCGGTTCCCTCTATATTTAGGCGGCTTACTGTAGCTCTGAATGTCCCAGGCTTGCTGTGTGATTCACAGACTTGCTCCCTGTCTTCCCTGAGTCTGTCGCTGACGTCTCTTCTGAGGGCTCCTGGCTCGTCAGTTCATGTTCCAGTCGGCTGGCAACAGCTGTGTGTGGGAAAGCCTCTGACCTGGTTTTAGGTCAAGCCTTATAGTCGTTACCCTGAGTGAGTTCACAGCCGTGTGTATACTCAGTGAAATGAGCGTGCTCCTGTGGCCTAAACTTAGAAAAAGAAAGAAAAAATAGTAAGTCTGGTCTTTACACATGTATAGTTTTCTCTCTGTATACGCCTGTCTGGGCAGGTTGTTTGCTTGGTTTTAAACTAATATTTATTTCTAGCCAAGCCTTACATTCCTGTCAAGCCAGTGAAGCACTTAGCAGAGAGGTCCAGCAGCCCCTGTCAATTTGGGTAGGCAATGTGCCTACCACCAGGAATGCTTTTCCTTCCCTCCCTTTTGTGGGACCTTTCATTTAGTGCCCGGGAGGACATCTTCCTGAAGGCTGCCTCTGGCCCAGTCCTCCTTGGCTGGTGTGGTGACTGCTTGTTCACTACCTGTGTCCACTATGGGCAGCGTGTGTCTAGCTGTGCTACGGGGTACTAAAGGAGAGATGCACCTTAACACATTCTGGGTGTGTATGGAGCAAGGGAGACGCAGAGAGGAGGGGGCCTGGGGAGGGCAGTGGACATTTGCATTAGAATCAAATGCAAATGGTGTACATATACCCCACTGCCCAGATCCCCAGGGAAGGCCTGTTCATCTAGTCATTCGCCAAGCACCCCCTCCAGGCTGGGCATACTGCAGAACTTTTCTTTATTGTGAGGGTCTCTATGTAGTTGCAGGCAGAACTTCTAATTTTTTTTTTCTTCACCTAACTTTGTGACTGTGTTGTCATTGGCGGAACCTTTTTTTATTTTTTTTTCACCTGAATTTGTCACTGCATTATTAATGTCTCTTCAAAAATAGATTAAGCTGATCCTTTTCCACTTTGCACTGGGACAACTGAGAAGGCCGTGGGTGTTGGTCTTTGTTTTTGCCCTGTTGTCCTGTGTTGCTAAGTGTCGGTGGCCTGCGTTTGTTGGTTTGTTGTCACATGGGCTGCTCTGTGTGGAGCATGTATCTGTCTCCTCTGCGGTTGATTTTCTGGAAGACCCGGGGTGGCAGATGGCAGGTTGGCAAAATGATCCCTTTCAGGGGTAGTGATAGGGGTATCTTCCTGGCTGCTGCCCTGTTGAGATGAGTTTGGTCTCTCGGCCAATTTCATTGTCACTTTTAGTTTGAATGGTAGATCTTCAAGGTAAAAATCTTAACAGTGCAAGAAGTTTCAGACTACAGAGGAAACCCCACTAAGAACACATCACACTGCCCACCCCTATGCATCCTAGAGAAGCTTCTCCCAGAGTACCGTATGTGGTCAGCCTGGTACATGGGCTTTTCCCCCTTCTCTCTTCACTTAGTATTTCATCACAAATACTTTTGTCTTTCTGAGACAGGGTCTCACTATGCAGTTCAGGCTGGCCTTGAGCTCACTTTGGAGCCCAAGGTGGTCTTGAACTCACAACAATCCTCCTGCCTCAGCCACCCGAATGCTGGGGTTACAGGCGTGCGCCACCATACCCGGTAATAAATACTTTTTCAACTTGCTACGTTATCTTCTAAGCCATCTTCTCCAGTGTAGAGTTGGCCCATGGATATTCTGTGAGAAGATCACAGTCTGAAAGGTCAGAGCTCTCATCTCCAGCGGAGGGAAGGGGTCCAGGCAGGAGCTGAGTTAGAAGCTGGAGCCCTTGGTCCCAGAGGCTGGGTGGGGGGACCGCTTTGGTCAGGGAGATTTCCCCTCCCCTTGACAGCCAGCTTCTGACTGAATGCTTAAGTGACTCTTGGGTTCATGTAGTAAGTCCAGGGGTCTGTGGGTACCCATGGTGTTTGGTGGGCATCCCATGGAGCGTGCTGCGTGACCCTGACTCGCAGATAGGCTCAGACTTAGAGGCAGCACGGCCTCATTGCTTTCCAGTTGTCCAACATAGCACCTAACCCATATGCTTCAATGTTTCTGTTGAAGAAAGGAATGGCCCTGTAGGAAAGCAAGGAGGCTGGCAGAGCTGGCACAGAACTGGGCCACAGGAGAGGATGGGTCGGGCTGCTAGGTGGCCTGGGACCAGCTTTTACTCTCAGGGACTGGGGCAGAGCATTTGTTGGAGTAAAGAGAAGCCAGAGGTGGGGCTCGGAAGCTGGTGCAGTGGGCCAGCCTGCTGAGGGCACGGCAGGCCGAGGTAGAAGGTGGCAATGGGGAGGAGGATGAAAATTGCATGTTTTAGTATTCAGGTCTTGTTTTAGAGATGTCCATGTGCTTAAAGAAGAGATGAGAGTAGCCCAGGGAACACCTGCACCCCGTTCACCTGGCCCCACCAGTGATAAGTAATGACTGTGTTAGCGGTCTCTGTTATGTTAATAAACGTATTCATACAGAGAAAGCACACTGCTTTAGCGATCTCTGATATTAATACTACTTGTTTATATCACAGCCACTCAGCGCTAATTAGTTCAGCATGTTTTTCCTAGGAATAAGGACACCCTTGGGCCGGGGAGATAGCTCACTGGCACAAGCACTTGCCTGGCAAATACAAGGTCCTCAGTTTGATTCCCGGTACCAAAAAAAAAAAAAAAAAGGACACCCTTATAGGTAATCTTAGTGCAGTTACCTTCTTCTTTTTTTTTTTTTTTTTTGGTTTTTTTTTTTTTTTTCCGGTACCAGGAATCAAACTCACAACCTCGTGCTTGCCAGGCAAGCACTGTGCCGCTGAGGTAAATCCCCATCCCAGTGCAATTATCAAATACAACATATGTAACATTTTTTTTTAAATGCATTTCTTTGCCTGTTCCAATAATACCTTTGGTAGCCCTTTTCCCCTGTGCAGGCTCCAACCCAAGACCACTCCCCGTGTTTGATTTCCTGGGTTTTGCAGAATGGCCCTGCATCGGCTTTTCTGACTTGGTTGGGTTCCAGTGGCTGAGGTTTGGCAGCAGTGCCATCCTTGGATACTGCGTCTGTCTCAGGGACACCAGTGGGATCTGTTGCAGGGGGTGGTCGGTGTTGCCAGTAGCTGCAATGTGGGGGAGACCTAGGAAGTCACAGACGTCTGGGGAGCATGAGCGCAGCTTGAACTCGGGCATGTGCTGGGTGCTCACAAGTGTCAGCAGGCGAATTTCATACTCTTCATGAGTAAATTGATCGCTGGGAGCTCAAAGCCATAGCAGCACCTGGAATCCTGGGCTGTGCCTGGTGACCGAGTCAGCCTGGCTAGGGTTCACTGCCTCCTCAATGACTCTGCTTTCCTGCCTGGTGCAGCCGGAGTGGGGAGAAACTTTCCTTCGCCCTGCTTTCTCTCCAGTCCTTGCAGTGTCCTCATCATCTATTTCTTCATAGCAGTGGCCATGTATGTCCCACTTAGAGAAGATGCAAGCAGAAATCAACTTCCAACAGCTAGAGGGACTGAGTGCAGGCCCCTCTGGGGTTGGTTTATATTTCGATGGTGCATTTCCTTTAATAATAAAAGAACTCAAACCTCCTCTCTCTTTTTAAATATTTCTCTCTTCTTTTCTTTTAAAGTTTAAACTCATATCCCAGGCCTATGAAGTGCTTTCAGACCCAAAGAAAAGGGAGATTTATGACCAGGGCGGGGAACAAGCGATTAAAGAAGGAGGCTCGGGCAGCCCCAGCTTCTCCTCCCCCATGGACATCTTTGACATGTTCTTTGGTGGCGGAGGACGGATGGCAAGAGACAGACGAGGTAAATGTTTCTAGAGAGATGTAAGCACGTTTTGTTGTTTGCAAAACTGCACACATTGTTGGAGTCAGGATGGATCACGTTTAAAACGGTGCAACTGTCATGTTTGGAAATCTTTAACCAGCTCATTCCTTGTCAAATCCCTAGAACTGGATCTCATGAGTTGTCCATCCCTGAGGAAGAGGTGCCCACTGTCCTGGGTGCAGATACAAGAGCTGGGCAGACTATAGGCATAAGTAAAGAACTCGGTGCCCAAGGAGGAATTTCAGTGAGGAGTCGCTAGTATACTTAGTAATTCTTACAGGCTTCAAGCCCCGGATGAAGGAGCAAATGGGTTGTGGGTAGAGAGGAGGAAGGTCAAAGTCCTCCTCTGTCTTGTGGGGTTCAGGCACCAGAGTTTCCTGAGGGGGAGAGCCATCTGCCCTCACCCTTGGCCTGGGTCCCCGCCTGAATCAGGGCCGGTGGGCTGTCCCGTTCCAGATGGGACCTGCTGTGTTCAGTGCTGCCTCGTTCTGGCCAGCTCAGGGCTTTCTGGATAACAAAATTTATCTTCTCATATTTTATAAATGGCCTCCAGTATTTTACAAATGGCCCCCAGTTTTGAGTTCTGGAGTTTGCTCTTCCTCATTTCTCCTCTACCAGGCTTCAGATACCATCTCTGCGGTCAGTGGTACGGGGTGGCCCAGTCCCTTTACCCTGCCCCGTGACTCCTGACAACATGCTTTGGGTCCTAAAACCAGATAACCAAGCTTAGTACATCTCTTGATAAAATCAAGAGAAAAAAGCTCTGTATTGTTTGTAAGAAATTTGGTTTTGGTCAGTGAGTTCCCTGGGGAAAAGTACTTATTCTCACATTATAATTGACTTGGAGCTTTAAAAAACTTGGGTGCCAATCCTGTGAACACCCTGTGCTGAAAGTCACCAAGTGTTTATTAGGGAACAGTCCCTTCCTGTCCTCTGGCCCAGCTCCTAGCTGCATTAAGATGAAAAACTTTATGCCCTTCATTAATCTTTTTTTTTTTTTTTTTTTTTTTGGTGCTGGGAATTGAACTCAGGACCTTCCACTTGCCAGGCAGGCACTTGTGCCACTGAGGTAGATCCCCAGCCCCAAATACCCTTCATTATTATCTCTTGAAGTTGACAACAAGGCAGCCAGGACACCTTGTCTCAGAGATAGCAAGGACTCTGGGCAGAAGGGAGACCCAGCCTTAGGAGTTGTCCCACCCTGAGGAACAGATGCCCACCGTCCCGGGAGCAGACACAAGAGCTGGGCAGAAGAAAGAGTCCACACTTGGGTACAAATTAAGAAACAAGTACAGAGATCGGTGCCCAAGGAGGTGTTTCAGTGACTGGCCCAGCAATTCTGGCTGTCACACATTTATCCATGAGGAAGGGCTGCTTTAATCAAGAACTGGCTAACCAGTGTCATTGTTAACATCATTGTCAGTTGTCACTGAGCCTTCTGTCAGTTAGGAATCTCCTTGTGCTCAGATTTTTTTTCTCTCAGAAAATAAAGGTGGAAAGTCTTTTTGCTGATGCCCATAAATGATTGAGAATTAGTTCATGTCAGATGGGGTGTTAACTCTCGGTGCTCACAGAGGACAGAGTATAGAACAAATGTAATGGGGGTGATGCTTCCTGCAGGAGAGGAGGAGGAACCCAGGATACTTACAGTGCAGGGCCATGTGGGTGGAATTCAACACTGCGGTCTGCTTCTTACACTATTACTAACTGGTTTTTTCCCTCTTGTAAGGCAAGAATGTTGTGCATCAGTTGTCAGTAACTCTGGAAGACTTGTATAATGGAATCACCAAGAAACTGGCCCTCCAGAAAAATGTAATTTGTGAGAAGTGTGAAGGTAAAAATTTGGGAATGACTCGCACAGTTCTGACCCCTTAGGTCTAGAAGGAAGTCTGCTTATTTCATAGCTCAGAGAAAAATAACATTTTATCCAACTCAATGGTTGGGCAGTGTCTGCCAGTAGGCAGCCTGAGGCCATAGCTATTTGCTCAGATGGATGTTTTATTTGGGCTACGCATTTATTTAATTTGTTGAGAGTTATTTTTAAAAAGTCCAAATCAAGACAACTCACTTAACCTCAGGGTTGCCAAGGTTTTTCTGTAAAGGGTGTGATAGTCTGGGTTTTTTGTTTGTTTCTGTTTTTCTTCTGGTACCAGAAATCAAACTCACGACCTTGCGCTTTCCAGGCAGGCACTTTGCCACTGAGCTAAATCCCCAGCCCAGCAATACTCTCTTATAATCGCTTAATTCTATGGTCCCAGTGCACGAATGACTGGATGCACCTGGGGTGCAGCAGCGCTTTATTTAGTGAACCTGTAGTCTGGCCATCGTTTGATGACCTTCCACTTTGACATAAAGGTAACTGATATGGCTCAGACCCCATTGTCTCATAGAGGACCCGCCAAGCTGGTAGCAGCTCCCATTGAAAGAGCTCCTGTCCTTTGAATATTTTCAGCCCAGCCTCCTCACTGGCTTGTGACCCTGGGTGTTTTTCCATCCTGGGATGGATGGAAGAAAGCACAATTGATGAGGCTAAAATAATAAATTTGGATCAATACAGCCCCAAACACAATTGCGTGGGGTCACATGTTAATATGTGGTATTGTCTGCATGGCTAGGCCCTTTCAGACTCTCCCACACTGCTTTGCGTAACTGTAAAGAGACTTCCAGCCCATGTCCCCTGGAACAGGAGATTTCCTGCCCTTCTGCTGCAGAGCGCAGGGGACCTGGGAAGGTAACAGCAGAGTCCTCACCTCTGTCACTCCCCCACCCCCAGGCGTTGGTGGGAAGAAGGACTCTGTGGAAAAATGCCCGCTGTGCAAGGGGCGGGGGATGCAGATCCACATCCAGCAGATCGGGCCGGGCATGGTGCAGCAGATCCAGACTGTGTGTGTGGAGTGCAAAGGCCAGGGTGAGCGCATCAACCCCAAGGACCGGTGTGAAAATTGCAGCGGTACCAAGGTGATCCGAGAGAAGAAGATCATTGAGGTACACGTGGAGAAAGGTGAGGCTGCGCGGAACTGGTGCTCCCCACTCAGGCTTGGCGCCATGGACTTGAGCTGTGCACAACCTGGAACTAAAGGCCGCTAAAAAGGGCTCTTCCTGCTTCCCGGGCTCCCCTGGACCCTCCTGGCCATCTGTCCACCCCATGGCACTTGCGATCACAGCCAACTTCCTTTAAGGTTTACTGCTGCCCTCAAGTCATACCTCGGCTTTGATTTACTGCCCTCTCCAGGCATGTTCAGACCCCTCCTTTGGGATCTGTATTTCCATTGCCCATCAGAGCTCGTGTCTTAGTAGCTCATGCTCCTTTCCTCTGTGTCCCTCCCTGCGGCATCAGCTTCTTCCGTATAGATCATCTTCTCTTGCTGCTTGCCTTGCCTGGTGCCATCATTTTACAGTGGACTTTGGTCCCAGCTGTTTTTCACATATTCCCCGAGGGTTCTGTGGCTTTCCACGCCAGCAAACATATTGCAGCTCAGGGAGGAGATCAAAAGTCCAAGAATCAACATCCATACCAACTCAAGTACAGAGAAAGGATTCCTCACTTAAACAAGCCTTACTCTGTACCTATGTTCATAGTATGTGTTAGAGACTCACTGGCTGTCCTGCCTTCTCAGTCCCCAGAACAATACGCCATCTGGCAGGGGGCTGGTGACCTCGTGCTCACAGTGTGGCCTCCCTGTGGGCTCACAGGCCCCAGGCTGGGGAGTGTGGTATGGGCCAGACATGGAACCTCACGCTCCTTCCCCACCTGTAGGTGTAGCCTGGGGCCTATGTGACCCACCTCCCAAAAGCCATTGTCCCAGTGGCCCCACCCCGAGATTGGGAGGCTGATGAGTGGAGAGGCCCCAAAGAACTCTGTGTCCCTTCTTCAAAAGCTCTGAGAAAGTACGATTTTTATGAGAAATGGCTAATCAGAAAGGGCTGATGTTCCATAGGTATGAAAGATGGGCAAAAGATACTATTTCATGGCGAAGGAGACCAGGAGCCTGAGCTGGAGCCTGGCGATGTCATAATTGTGCTTGATCAGAAGGATCATAGTGTCTTTCAGAGACGAGGCCACGACTTGATCATGAAAATGAAAATTCAGCTTTCTGAAGCTCTTTGTGGCTTCAAGAAGACGATAAAAACACTGGATGACCGAACCCTTGTTATCACATCCAGACCAGGTAACATCCCCTGGGTGTGTGGCGTGGTGACCTCTGTGACTGGGACTTGATTTTCCCTAAATTTAAAGTCAGGGGTAGTGATTACAGGATTTCATTTTCTTTCGATTTTCCTACTGGGGAGAAAAACAGAGCTAGGGGCAGAAGCCTCCAATGGGAATCTTGGAGTCTGAAATTCTAGCAGCAATCTGCCAGTTAAACTTCAATTTTATGTTTTGTTTACTTTTTCTGTTTATTTACTTATTTATTTTGCGGGCGGATGGTTTCACTATGTAGTTAGGCTGGCCTCAGAGTCAGTGACCCTTCTGCCTCAGCCCCAAGTGCTGAGATGATAGGCGTGCACCACCACGCCCAGCACTTCAATTTTAAAGACGTTTTACAGAAGAAAACCCAGCTGATGTTAAAAACAGTGGTGTTTTTCTGTCAAGTGGGCTACGTCGATTTGCCCAAATTTTCCTCCAGTGGGGTGTAAAATCAAGTTTTCTGAAACAAAGACATTGCCTGCCCACTTATCTTTGGAGGTGCCCCCACCAATGGGTGCCAGGGAGCAGTTGAGGGAGGCATCCTGAGGCCTGGGCTCACAGGGTTGGTGGTCACTGTAGCCTGGGTCCTGGCTCCGTGTGGGTCCCAGAGCACCCACCAGCATGGGCTGGAAGCAGGGCGAGGCCAGGTCCATGCCTTGCTTAAGCCGTTCCCGAGCAGCACACAAGCTGTCTGGTTGCCTGATACCCTGGCCTGCCGGTGGCCACCAGTAGTGCTACTCTGGTGCCTTCCTGAGCACAGGTCAGAAGCCGCTTCACCTTGGCAAGCAGGGCAGGGCAGGGTCACTGGGAGGTGACCGGCTGATAAACTTGTGCAGGGTGTGGTGGCCATGGTGGTTGTGATAAGACCTGGAGTCCAAGGGACCAGTGCCACCCTGAGGCCACCCTCACAGAGCTCCCCCGCTCTGAGCCTGTTCCTATGCTCTCTGCCTGTTTTGGCCTGTTCTATTTTTCTTTTTTTTAATTTTAAAGATAGAAGAATGAAAACACATTAACAAACAAGCAGACGTCAACAAAACAACACCCAAACAATAGAAGCAATACAGAATTGCATACAAGGTGATAGGAAACTAACAATGGTTGTTGTATTACATATTGTTATCTTCAAATTGGCTACTCAGTTAAACAAATATAGGTTCGGCCTGTTCTGTTTCTCCCTCAGTTTCTTCTCTGATTCTTTCGGTTCCTCTTCTTCTGGGATCATATGAAGTAGAATTATATTTCTAAACCTTGACCTAAGTTTGTGTTTTTTTGGGTTTTGTTTGTTTGTTTGTTTTCCGGTACCAGGAATCGAACTCAAGGCCTTGTGCTTGATAGGCAGGCACTGTGCTGCTGAGCTAAATCCCCAGCCCCTAAGTTTGTGTTTTTTAAAACTCTTTTAACTTGAAAATAATTTCACACTTACAAAAAGTTATGAATATAAAAACAGTAGGAGGGCCTGTAGCTGGTTTTACCTGCTAACATTTTATACCATGGGCTAGTGAGGGAGCTCAGCGGCACAGTGCCTGCCTGGCAAGCTTGAGGCACTGAGTTCCATTCCTGGCACCAAAAAAAAAAAAAAACAAAACCTACAAATTTTACACTATGTGTTTTTTTCATTTGCCCTGTGGGTATGGGTGTGTGTGTGGGTGTGTGTGGGTGTGTGTGTGCCTTGGGTACTATACCAAAACCGCTGACCTCCTAACAGATCAGAGCCTTGGTAGGAGCAGGACAAACATACACACACACACACACACACACACACACACACCTGCCTGTGATTGGGTTGGAAAATCCCCTCCTGAGCCAGTTGGACTCGATGAGGCCAGCAGCCTGGAGGACTCGCTATAGCGGTGTCTGCTGTGGGATGCTGGAGCCCATGCTCCTGCCACCTCTTAGGCCTGCTCCACTGTCCCCAAGGGAGGCTGACTTCTGCCAGCCCTGGCTTCCTGTGTCACACTTGACCTTCTCTGTGGCAGGTGAGGTGATAAAGCACGGGGAACTGCGATCTGTGCGCAACGAGGGGATGCCTATCTACAAGGCCCCCCTGGAGAAGGGGATGCTGGTCATACAGTTCCTAGTAAGTGCACTGCATTTGATCCCAGGGATTCTGCACTGCTACCCAGCTGGAAGGGATGAGTCACATCATTCTGTCCTCTCTCACAGGTGACCTTCCCTGAGCAGCACTGGCTGTCCCCAGAGAAGCTGCCACAGCTGGAAGCCCTGTTGCCCCCACGGCAGAAGGTGCGGGTCACAGAGGACATGGAGCAGGCGGAGCTGCAGGAGTTCAGTGCCGGCGAGCAGGGCTGGCGCCCACAGCGTGAGGCCTATGAGGAGGATGAGGATGGGCCCCGCGCTGGAGTGCAGTGCCAGGCAGCGTGACGCGGGAGCAGTGTAACGTTGGCACAATGAAATGGTGTCCTGTAACAGCTGTGTCTGGGGTGTCCTGTGTGTGTTCAGCGTTCTCCATGGCGGAGTGTCTTTGGGTTTCTTTTGGTTCTGATTTGTTATGTTTGGTTTACATTTCAATGTTTTATGTGTAAATCACTTCAGTCTGCCCATGGAATCTGTTGGTCCACACCTCCAGGACTGTCCAGGGGATGCTGGTTACCACACTCACACTTTGTGCTTCTGGTGGCTTTGCTGTTATTCAGCTTCTGGTAGTACTCAGCCCAGAGCCACACACATCCCCCCTTGCAGGCCAGGAGGTACAGTGGGTATTGCGGCTGTGTCTGCAAATGCTTTCTCACCCTTGCGCCCCAGCAGTTGCTGAAGGCCTGCATGCAGGGCTGCTGATAGGCCATTTCTGAGTCCAGGCTCCAGACAAATGTCTGCATGAACACATACACGGGGCTTCACGGCCCTAGTCCACACCAACCAGACTGTGCTTGGGTGCGGACCTAGCCTAGTCCCTTCACTTGGTGCGCCTGGATGGTTGTTGTGGGGCAAGAGTCTACTCACCTCTCCTGAGATTCTCTGAACTTCCCAAGCTCCTCGGGAGGACAAACCAGTGTCTTAAGCGGTCGTGGATCCACCATTTGTCTGTGACCCTGCCCCAGTTCTCTGGCTTTCATGCTCTTTTGTTGGAATCCCTGCAACCCCATCCCACCCAAGTGCTTACTTGAAAATGAAACTCTCCTGGCAGCCTCAGGCAGCAGCAAGGGGCGAAGAGAGGTCACTGGTCTGAGCCATGCATGGTGGCTTCTGCCTGGTGACCCCTGGTGACTTGAGGGCTAGGAAGGCACAGAATGTCCCAGTGTCCCTCTCATGTTCTTCCAGCTGGGCTCCTTACTGAAGGATTGTTCCTTACCTCACAGCCATATCCCAAAGGGTGTCCCGCTGAGGTGACCTTGGTGGGAACAGGCAGGCTCTCATGGGGCCTCATCCATGTGCACTCCCGCTGCTGCCGGCTGGTGCAGGGCACATTAGCCATGGCCTCCTTCCTGGTAGGTAGACCATAGCTCGAATTAGCATTACCTCAACTTCAGGCCATCACTGCTCCTTTCTTTCCAGTCATGAAGAGGAACTGCTACCTTTGAGCTGTCAGGTGGGCCCTTATCTGATCACATGGCACCCAAGTCAAACCCAGACATGGACCCCCAGGTGGGCCACAGGGCAGGCCACAGGGTGACCAGGTTCCAGAAGCACTGCTGGCTGGGGGACATAGCTGCTCCAGTAGAGAGAGCCCACCTGTGCGTGCCTCAATCACTGGTCAGGAGACTGAAAGCCGATTCTTCCAATCAAGCCTACATGAAAATCAACTTTAAATGGACCACCTCTCCAGGGTGCTGCTCCTGTGCCGTGGCTTCCTGATAAATGATTGCTGGAGAAATACTGTTTAGTTGGCAATGGAGCAAAATTACACTCAGCTCCTTCCTGTCACATAAGTGGCCTCTGGAAGGTGTTGCTTCAGATTTTATTCCATCTCTATATCTGTCACTTTAAAATTAAAATGGAGCTGCTATGAGAGACAAGTGGCTTTGCTTTTTCTTCACTCGAACACTCAAGTGTGGTGTTAACATGCACAGGTAGAAGGAATGGAGCTTCCTCGTATGTGAGGGTGGGAGGAAGAGGGCTGGACAGCGAGGGAGGGTCCTGACGGCTGGGACAGGGTGGTTCCAAGAGGGCGAGTGAGGCCAAGGCTCGAGAGCAAGCAGAGCTTGTTCTGAGAGTAGCAGGTGGAGGGAGAGCACAAGTGTCAGCCCTCTCCAGGCACAGGAGCCCGCATGCAGCTGTTCTGCGGTCTGCAGCCCGGGCACCGTAAAGGCAGCAAGAGCAGCCACCTTCCCACACCCCCCAGCAGGATACAGAGGTCTCTTATGTGACAGTGGGAGAGGGAGAGTATTGTGGACAATTTGAATGTACTGAACAGAAGGATCCTCAGGTGGCCAGAACCACAGGCTGCGCCCACCCAGCCAGACACCGTTTCCTTCAGGATTCCATTCTCCAGGACGCCAAGGGTGCTCAGGAGTCAGTCCAGGGAAGGGGACTGTGTTTCCAAGCGGCAAAGCTCACAGCACCCAGCTGCTCCTCTCTCTGTTCTCTGGCAACAGATGAACCAAGAAAGAAGCACGTCCACCAACAGGGGCGTTGCGTCAAGAGTTCTTTATTAAAGTATGAACAGCATTTCCATTAAAACAGGAAAATGTTGATACTGTGTCTACAAAATGAGTCTCTGCTACAATATGTGCTCAGTTTCTTAATTTAAATGCACATAAAAGGAATGTCCCAACAATCTGCACATCTTTTCCACAGCGTTAGCCTTGTAGATGCTGATGTCTAAATTGGACAATCATAGATGTGAATTTCCTGGTCATCTCCAACAGACACGATTTTTGAGCCATTTCCATTGTATTTTACTCCCCAGACCTGTAAATTTTAAAAAGTCTATTAATATTTTATTCTTTCTGAAGACTGTTTACAAGATGAACATCCTCATTTACTTCTCATTATTCTGAATCTAGAAAAATACTTCGGGGTGTTACTGTAGTTCCTAAATGAGAGGACGGCAGCTTCTCTTTAACCAGGCACCTTCCTTTTGTGTCAGTTAGTCATGGCCCCACCCTGAACATTTTTTAATTTTTTCAATCAGATTTTATTGGTATACTTTAGATACACATAATCACATTCATCATAGAGAATCTGCACCTGTACATAACATAACTTGCTTTTTTCCCCATTCCCCGACCCTCCCTTCAACCCCTCCCCTCCCCATTTACAAAAGCTTTGTTTCCATGTTTTTCTTCTTATTTTAACTTTTTCCTTCTTTCCTTTCCCCTTCTCCCTGTTCCCCTCCCCATCTGAACATTTTCTTCTTATTTCACAATACCTATTATACATTTTGGTCCTTTTTTACACTTTTGGCTTCTCACACCAGAGAATGCGGTATTTACACATGTGTCCAATTTATTTCATTTAAAGAGTATGGACTCAAGGTGCATCCGCTTTCCTAGAAATGTCTTGAGTGTACCCTTCTTTATAAGAGAGTAGTACCCCATTGTATAAAAAAAACCACATCTTCATCCATTCACAAGTTGATGGGCACTTAAGTTATTTCCAAGATTTGGCTATTACAAACTGCAGCTATAAACATATGTATGCATATATATCTGCAGTATGATGCTTTTAATTCTTTCGGGAAGACATCCAGGAGGGGTATGGCTCAGTCAAATGGGACTCCTAGTTTTTTGAGGAATCTCCACACTGATTTCCACAGTGGTTGTACCAGTCTATACTCCCACCAACAGTGGAGAAGGGTTCCTTTTCCCTCACAGCCCAACAGCATTTACTACTGGTTGATTTCTTGTTAACAGCCATTTCTTCCGGGGTGAGATGGAATCTCAGTGTTGTTTTAGTTTGCATCTCTCAAATGACCATGATGTTGAACATTTTTTCATATATTTATTTGCTGTTTGCACTTCTTCATCTGAGAAGTGTATATCCATCTCAGATGCACATTTCTGGATTGGGTCTTTAAATTTGGGGGGGGGTCTGATTTTTTTTTTTTAGTTCTTTGTATGTTCTCAATAGTAATCCTAAAAAAAAAATTTTAAAAATACAGTAATCTTGTATCTGAGGAACAGCTGGCAAACATTTTTTCCCCACACTTAGGTTGTCTCTTCACTCAGTTGTTGGTTTCTCTTGCTGTGCAAAAGCGACAATCTGCATCTTTAAAAAGATGAGATCTCAGTTGTTGATTCTTTGTGATAGTTCCGGTGCGATCAGGATTTTATTCATAAAATCTTTGCCTACACCAATGTCTTCAAGAGATTTATCTATTCTATCTTCCAGCAGATTTAATGTTTCTGTTTTAATATTTATAACCATTTTTATTTCTATACTAACTAGGATAATCTACAACTCTTGCAAAGATTCCGAATCCAGAAGATGGCCATGGCATCCACAAGGGACCAGCATTTATGCTGCCAGGAGACCCATATGCCATGGTCACTTTCTACAAAAAAACACTGCCAGCTGCTCATTCCGTCCCACACACATTGCCCTGGTCTGTAACTTCTGCTTCTTATTAGAGTCCTGGGAGCCAGCCACCATGGGCACCACTGATTTTATGAGCCGTGCAGTCAATAAACAGCTTCACACTTCCTTCCCAGGCGGAGTTGATGACCATCAAGACTGCCTTTCATACTGTGAGGCAGTTCTAGGGGGTCAGGCTGTCACCCTGGCTGTGAGATGTACTTTCTCTGCAAAGCAGCATGTGGACCCCCACACAGGGCCACACAACACCAGGACTTACTCCCTTAAGTCCAGCAGTGGACTGTCAAGATCAAGACCAACCCCCAGGACTTTACTGGCCACAATGTAAGAAAGAATGAATCCACATGAGCAATTAGTTAACTTCATTCCAAGCTGCATTCCAAAAGAAATCTATACGCATCTGGAAACATCCAGAGTATGTTAAGAGCCAACTTTATGCAGCAGTGGGGTTTTACTCATATGCTGACTAGTTCCTAAACCCTGATCCTCAGAGTGGTTGGGGTCAGCAGCCTGCTGTCCCTTTGGGGCGTGTGACAGGCACAATATCAGGCCCACAGGAGAGATGCTGGGTCAGAATTGCAGTTTAGCTAGGAGACCCCCAGGGGCCATGTGCACATTAAGACCAACAAGTAGCACATGATGATACTTCACACCTTGGTAAAGATACAGACAGAAGCTCCTTTCAAAATTGGAAATAAAATCCAAACAACTTGTAGGAGTTTCCCTTCTAGTATATTAAAGAACAACCCCATCTCTTTGGACAGTTCTAAAAATGGCAAACGGTAAGCTGGCAAAGACAGCGTCTGACGAGCATAGCCCTTCCTGAGCTGGTCCAGGCCTGGAGAGGACCAGAGAGGCCCAGCAAGAGGCTGTGCTTGTGCACGCTGTCATGCAGGCAGGGACACCCCTGTGGTGCTAGGTGACAGCAAGTCCTGGGCTCATCTAGACAGACATTAGCAGCAGCAGTCCCAATCCCAGGGGTTTACCACTCTCCACTCGAGGGTAGGAAAATAAAACTGTTCCCGCAAAGGACTCAGACAATGCTGCAATCTAAAGAAAAAGACACTTTAATTATTCCATACCTGATCCTGGTGATCAAAGAAGGTGTGAACACAAGTCCTTGTGCCAACATCCCACACTTTCACACTTTTGTCAGATGAACTGTATCAAAAAGCGAACGTCAGTGTCAGGAATGGTTCCAGACAAGTTTGAAGCAGAATATGACCCCAAAACCCTCACACTCATCCACCATCAGCGGCCGCTCAACAGGCGCAGGTCAGGGCAGGTTCAGCTCGGTGGCCCCTCTCAGGGGAGCTGTCCTCCTGAGACTCCGCCTGTAGGTGCTGTTGTCAGGAGGCCCCGGCCTATCTATCGCCCCAGTTGAAGCTTCAAATAAAGGCTCTGGGGGGGCCTCCAGACCACCAAGCAGAACCCTTATGCTGTCTGCCCCCTGGGTCCAGCCATGGTGGCCACTCCAGACCTGAACATACTCAGATGAAGAAGCAGAACAGTTTTCTTTCCACTGAGGATTGAACCCATTAAGGTCCATCCCCAGCACTTATTATTACTTTTATTTCAAGAGAGGGTGTCCGTAAGTGTCTAAGTTGCCCAGACTGAGCTGGAACTTGTGATTCTTCTACCTCCATCTTGCAAAGTACTGGGATTGCAGGTGTGTGTGATTACGCCCAGCTCAGAATCACATATTTTAAATTACTGTTGAAACACAGGCATACCTCAGAATAGCTGTAGGTAGAAGCCTAGATTTATAAGAAAAACCTGAGTTTAACTGTTCAAAAGATTTCACCTTTGTTCCAGCTAAGGCCAACTAAGTTCATTATTTACATGATAAAAACTTAATATTTTTTTTTTTTTTTGGTCTTTTTGAGACAGGGTCTTGCTATGTAGTTCAGGCTAGCCTTGAGCTCACTTTGTAGCCTCAGCTGATCTCGAACTCACAGCAATCCTCCTGCCTCAGCCTCCTAAGTGCTGGGATTACAGGTGTGCACCACCACGTCTGGCCATAAATAAAAACTTTAAGAACTACAGAAAATAAAGGCAACTTGAATTTTAGTTTTTTTTGGTTTTTCTCCGGTACCAGGAACCAAACTCATGACCTTGTGCTTGCCAGGCAGGCGCTTTGCCGCTGAGCTAAATCCCCAGCCCCGGCAACTTGAATTTTAAAAGCACCAGTCTCCAAACTTTAAGGCAACTAATTCCAGAAGACATCTTCATCTTCTGAGCATTTTAGAAACTGCAATGAATCCTGAGTACCTGGAGACGAAGTGAGTGTCATCAGGACAGAAGGCCACGTTCAGCACCCAGGAGGCATGGCCGCTCAGCGTGCCGGCCAGGTTGGCATGCTGTCTGCAAGGAGGCAGGGCACACACGACAAGGGTGAGGGCGTTAACTTGCATATCCCTTCCCACCGCCCTGAGGACTCAAAGGCAAAGGCACCCAGTGGAGGCAGGTGGCAACTGGGGAGACCAGGGTGACTGACAGAACCTGACTGTAGGTACCTACTGAGAGGGACAGGAAGGGGGATTCCTAGTAACAAAGGGACAGAGCAACCACTGGTGTTGAGTGCCACGCCTTCAACTCACACATCATAGATCTTGATGTAGCCATCATCGGATGCAGTGACAAGGAGCTGAGAGTCCGGAGAAAAGGTCAAGGAGCGGATGGGCATGGCATGGCCTGGAATTCACAAAGACCCTGTCAATCCTGGCAAATCACTGCTGCTTTATATGGCTTTCCACTGCTATGTCCCTTTGAATGACCATGCATCACTGAGCTAAAACTGCCCTGCTGCTTCCATAAAAAAAAAAAAAAAAAGATAGCTGGGCAGGGTGAGGCACGCCTGTAATCCTAGCACTCTGGGAGGCTGAGGCAGGAGGATCCCAAGTTCCAGCCCAGCCTGGGCAACTTAGTGACTTACATGAAATGAAAAAACAAAAAAGGCTGGGGATCTGCCTCAGTGTGAGGGTCCTAGGCTTAATCCTTAGTACTGAAGAAAAAAAAAGGAAAGTATCGAGTGGGCTTTTCATCTTAGTGTTCTAGAAACACCCACCTAACCCCAGCCTGTGCTCCTGGAGCCACTTCTCCTTGGCCCCCTTTCCTGAGGAGCTGGGCCTCAACATAACATTGCTTTAAAAGACTCGTCTGGGGGTGGAGATATAGCTCAGTGGCACAGCGCCTGCCTAGTAAGCACAAGGTCCTGAGTTCCATTTCCTGTACCAAAACAAAACTACTCTGCTACAGATAGGGCCAAACATGGAAATAAGCATTGTGGGGTTGGACAAATAACATATTATTTCCCCATCAAATCTTTCATGGCTAGAATTCAAAATAACACAAAAGAATGTGTAAATCTAGTTGCCCTCCCACCCACACTGCTCTTTGGCTCCTGGGGGCCACCAATGTGACCATTATCAAATTAACAACATAAAAGAGCTGCCTTCCAGCCAAAAGTTCTTCCGAACCAAAAATAACAGAAACAGACCCTTACATGGCTAAGGTAATTAACACATAAATAAAAAGCAAGGGAATTCACCAAAACAAGCAACTAACTCTGCCAGAACTAAAACACAGTTAAAACTAGTGACAAGCCTAAACTAGTGAGAATCCTAAAACTTGGAGCCCTTTCAGTTTTACAACTGAGATGAAATGATTTTTCCAGTCTAATGTTTATCTGTTATTCAACAGCATATAAAGAAAAAATAATTTCCTCTGTAATCTGATAACCCAGTTTGTACAAAATCAGGAGGAGCTATACCTTCCAGCGTATGCAGAAGTTTCCCTGTTGCAATATCAAAAATATTGATGATTCCATCTATGGCCCCACTGGCCAGGTACTTCCCGTCAGGACTCTGTCGAGAGAACAGAAGATGAGCCCTCTGGGACTCCTGCTGTTACTCCATCCCTGCTGAACACAAGTCAGCCTCCTCGGGCTCCAGGCTTAACCAGCCAGCGGCTACCACACCATCAAGATCAAGGCACAGGGGCTGGGGATTTAGCTCAGCGGCAAAAGCGCCTGCCTGGCAAGCGCAAGGTCGTGAGTTCGGTCCCCGGTACCGGAGAAAAACCAAAACCAAAAAAAAAAAAAGATCAAGGCACAGGTGATGAGATACTGCAAGGGTAAATGTGAGGAACCAAAAAGACAAGAGAACGCCATGTTTCCTTACATAGGCAATACTGAGAATGAACTTTCCTCTTGTGTCCAAAGAATATTCTTTTTTCCCACTTTCCACTCCAAAAATGTTCACTTTCCCCACGTGAGTTCCTGTGGCCAGATACTGGGAATCCGGAGAAAAGGCCAAAGTCCAGGCATCCACTAAAAGGAAAAAAGAAGGGAAAAATAAAGTGAGAAAAGATCTGATCCTGGTTTTAAAAACTGAAGTTTAAGCAAGTGATACATGCTTTAAAATCAGTAAATCCATCCTGTTTCTCAGAATTTTGTTAAAACACTGATTCTTTACCACATTTTGTTTCAGGACTTCTCCACTGTTATTAAAAATAGGACAATACCAAGTGTTAGCTAGCAAGATGTGGTAAGACCAGGACCCCACACACAGGTGGGAACGTCAAGTGGGAAATCTGTGAAAATCAGGGTGAAAGCAAACACTTATCACAGTAGCCAGCAATTCCACTCCCAGGCAGCTACGAGAAATGAAACACTCAAGAAAAATGAATCGTGTCCACAGAGACACGCACACCCATGCTCATAGCAGCTGTGTTCACACACCAACCAACTGGCGAATGGATAAACAGAAAGTGGTTCCTGCTCACAACAGAATGCTTTTTGGCAATAAAAAGGAATAAACCTATGCCGCAACGTGGATGAAACTCAGAAACATACTAAAGAAACAATGAAGACATAGAAGACAATACAATTCCATTTATGTGCCTTTTTTTTTTTTTTTTTTTTTTTTTCAGAAAAGGCAAGACGAGAGAAAGCAAGCAGCTCGCCGCTGCTTATGGCTGAGGGGAATGCAGGGGCCAACTACATGGGCACAGAGGGTCCGATACCACACTGGCTCGATGGTGTACAACTGTGGAAACCGGGTCAGCGAGCAAACCACATACTTCAGATGGTGAATTTCATGGCGTAATTAGAGAAGTGAGATTTCATCTAAATTTAAAACTATAAATAGGGGCTGGGACTATAGCTCAGCAGCACAGCACCTGCCAGGCAAGCGCAAGGTCCTGAGTTCAATTCTCAGTACCAAAAAAAAAAAACTATGAATAAATGAAGAGGTACAAAATTATATATGTCAAAGTAGTTACCACAAATCAATAAGGCAGGAATCCATTAGTTTTGAAGTCACATCACACATCTGAGTCGCCTTCCAGAGTTCAATCTGAGTGTCCCTGACACTCTTCAGTCACATCTGAGGGTCTGGGGAGCGCCCACCTCCACCTGGACCACAGAGGGCACCAGTATGAGGGACCCATGTCTTGCAGAGGCCACCCTTAGGTGCTTGGGGGCGGGCACAAGAACAACACTGCCCCCACTGCCACCTGGGCCAGTTTCAGAGCCTAGTCTTACATGGGACCCCCACCCCTATGTCTGCCCCCTTCTGTCCTTTGCCCAGGAACTCTGGGGTATTTTTAATATACAAGTCTCTGGGACTTTTCACACATATACATCCAAAGCAATAATAAATCATTTAACTCAATCACTTTACTCATATGTTTGTTTTCAAAACAAAATTTACCTCATAAGTGCTCAATGAATCAACAAGACCTTAAAAAACTTTATTATATTCAATTGCTCGGAAGGGTGTTTTAGATATACCTGTTCCTACATGATAGAGATGTTTATTCTGACAGGATAATGTTTTTTTTCCCCTGTCCACACCCACAGGGCAGCCCAGTTCCCAGAAAAGGCCTGCAAGATCTCTGTCAACAAGCCTTTGCCTGCCTCTGTAGAACATGTGCCAGTCAGGCCCGTTTAGAATTATGTCTTATTTCACTGCAATTAGCCGTTTATAGGAATAATGGCTAGTAGGAAACCTACTTTCCAGTCCTCAAAGCTTAATAAAACCTTCCTTCTAAGTTATTTTTGTATTTCCCTATTAACTGCTTTGCAAGGAGGAATTTTTACTACCAAATACCCTTACGTTGTTCAAAACCGGAAGAACACTTCTCATCCCTCAACTAAACTCTGCACTCTTAAGATTTAACATTTGCAGCATAAATGTTCTTTTCAGTCTCCAAGTCCCACCTGCTCTCTGAAAGGTGGGCCGTGTGGGCACCTGAAGCTGAGGGGCTCTGCGATCTTTGCTCTTCCTCAGTGTTAGCTACTAAAAGACACATCCGGGGGAGGACAGACGCAGAGCTGTCCTCCCAGTTTGGCTTTCTTCTACCTCCTCCTGTACATCTCAGGACAGGGATTTTTGCCTGCTGTTTCTGTTCCTTCTATGTCGGTTCATACTCTCAATGTGTATTTTCAAGCTAGGTATAACCAAGTGTCGGATTTCCCTCCATTCCTTGGAGGGCCTAAACTCATCAAGGAGGTGAATCTTCTGATGAATTCAGCTGCTTTTGTTTTCAAACAATTCAGCTGTTTGGTGACTCAGGTCTAGTTTTGTGCAGATTCCAACCCCTCTATTCTTTCTAGGATCTTATTTCTTGACACCCCTGCCCCTTGGAGAATACAGACACCATCTGTCACAGAAGGCCAGAAGGACACATCCTTTGCCTGGAAACAATGCAACATTCATTTCCTCAGCTGTGAAGACTGCTGGGCCACAAAAAGCATGCAATGACCAGTGTTACAGCTCCTGGGAGGGCACAGGTACCCAAGAAGAAAGAGCAGCAACAGATTTGCCCCTTCCTTCTTTATTAAGATGCTCCTTGTACTCAGAGTCCTGACAGACTATGCACGACAGCTGGGACCCTGCCGTCTGCGAGTCATATGAGCAGGGCACAGGCAAGATGGCCGCCTTGCAAGACAGAGTTAGGGCAACCTTTTCCAAGCACATATCCCAGCTCACACACTCTGAAAACCGTGATTTAGTGGATCCAAAATAGGGCCTAGGCATGCACATTCCTTTGAACTCTCCAGTGGTGAGAATCAGAGACAAGGACTGCTGCTTCCCAGGACATCAGCACCGTTTCCAGATTGCCCACCCTCCTTGCAGTCAGGAACAGCATCCTTTCCAGCATCACAGTGGCAATGCAGTATAACTAGTAGAGGCAAATCCATTGGGGAATCGGTCACTGCATCCCCTAAGCAGCCCTTCCATGATCCACCCGTTGAAGGGCACTCAGTACCCGGGGCAGAACAGGCTCTGCTGGTGAACAGCAGGCTAAAGGGATTCTGAGTGCCGTACTGCTTGTTCCCCATTAACCCAGCCTACTGAAACGGTTCATTCCCATCACCTTGGATGATGCTTTAAGGCAGAGGATAAGATCACACTGTCTAGAATAAGAGACAAATAACAGGAGACAGGGAAGATCGATCTTTTGGAAATGGGGAAGGGACCAAAAAGGTGGGAGGGGAAGGGGCTATAAAAAGAATTAAGCTGTATTACGTCCATGTACCAACTTCCCCAAGATGAACATGATCATTATGTACTGCAAATATGTACTGATAAAAAAGCCTAGGAAAAAAAGATTAAGCTACCCTAGAGTACTTTTAAAAAATTAATGAATTTGTTGTCTTAAAGGTTTCATATCACTCACATACTAGAAACCAGGCAGGTACACTGCAATTAGTGGAGGTCATCACCACACACCTCTATAAAGACACAATCTTCTATGTGCTGAGCTTCAAGGCAGTGAACGAAGCAACTCAGAATAAGGCGAATAAAGAACCATTAGACCACCCAAACACAGGTCTACAGCCTACACTGGCAATTCTGAAACCCACCTAGCCCTGAAAACTAAGTGTTTTTATTTTTGGTTTGTGGCAGCACTGGGGATTGAACCCTGGGCCTTCGCACTGAACTACATTCCCAAGCCCTTATTTTTATTTATTAGAGGCAGGGTCTCATTAAGTTACCCAGGCTGGGCTCAGACTTTCATCATCCTGCCTCAGGCTCCCAGAGTACTGTGAAAATTATTAGTTTTTTCTTCAGCTTAGAACCAATTAATCTAGCATCAAAAGCAGACCAGAACTAATTAACGTAAGGCTACTTCTAGCCTTTATTTATCTTAGTACAAACACCCATGTTTAGCTGCAGTCTCAGTGTTTGACTACACCAGAGGCATGAATAACGTATAGTTCCTATACCCACATCAGTCCTCTCAAATCTGAAAAAGCCTAATCAATAAACACATACATCTCAAAGGGCTTTGAAAAGGAACTGTGAACCTCTAGGACCTCCCCTAAACAGAAAACTCTTACCAGGTCCTGCATCTATAGACTTTATTTGTTTGCCATTTTCCAAGTCCCAGAGACGAATGTGGGCATCCAGAGAGCTGGACGCAGCAATAGGCAGAGTGTGGCTGATGTCCACAGACACCACCCCCAGCTGATGTCCCTCCAGGCTCCACTGCAGGTCCAGCCTCTCATCACACCTGCATGCAGGGACAGAGAAATAAATGAACAGCTTCACATACAAGACGGTGGTTTTTGTTTTTTTTTTTTTTTTAACAAATAAATAAATAAATGGGCTTTAATACCAAATAACAGGAAAAGAAGAGAGCAAACATAAGCTGCTGTCTCATATTACCATACAGCTACTGCTTTCTGTTCTAGAAAAACATAGATACTTCCCTGATTGCAATCTGGGAGCCCAATTTTCCAAGCTCTGTGTTAGAGGAGGCGCACTCACCATTTCCAGACCTTCACTAGGTCGTCCAGGGATCCTGTGACCACCGTTTCAGAGTTTTCCTTCTTGTTTGTCCCCCAGGCAACAGACCAAATAGCATCATCATGGGCTAGAAGGGAAAGCACTTCACTTACAAAGTTCCTGTGCACGCAACTTCTACATTTAGTGACAAAATGAAGCTGAAATACTGTCCAATGATTCTGAGCTACCATCTACTTCTGTCTGTCTGCTTAAATGCTTCACAGGCATTTTCCCTTTTATTGCAATTATGGGTGACATATGCGGAGCAGAGGTTCTGAAGAAGCCACCTGCCCTAAAACACACATTAACCAGGTGGGGAGGCAGAACCAGAATGAGCCAATCCCAACCCCAATGCCCTTTCTGCTGGCGTACTTCCCACCCAAGGCTAGACAAGGAAAACCAGCAGTGACCTGCTCCTACAAGAAAGACCTAAATTCAATAGGAAATGGATCTTGGAGCTCTTTGGAAACCAGCAGACAGTTCAACTGTCAACAGTGCAGGTCCAAAAATACAGAAGTTGCCTTTTACTACAAATGTTTTTATTGTGCTTAATAAGCCAGATAATTATGCTAGTCCTCTTACAAGTGTTGTCTCAATCACAATCATCCTATGAAAGAGGTACTACTCAGTCCACCCTCACTTTATAGACAAGGAATTAGAGGCTTAAAGAAGCCTAGAGGCTCACCCGAGTCACAAAGCTTACAAGGGGCAGAGCTAGGATTCAAACCCAGTCTCTGTTAGGTGAAGTCCCCCTCAAAGCCAATCCTGCAAGATGTACATCTGGTAGGCCACACAGTTGGTCTGTAGACCGGGGTGGGCATACAAACACGATAAGTACACACAGAAGTGTGATAATGCCAGGGCCATCATTTCAATACACGAATACAAGAGCACTGAACTTAGCTGTGATTCACACGTAGAATCGTGGCTTCCTTTATGATCCCACCTGACCCAAGATCCTGGATGCCACCTGGATGACATTAGCCTCATACAAAGGAGTTGGTGGATGCTGTACTGCTCACCTATATTTGTTAGCTAAGACGGATGCTTTGGCTTAAACTTCAGACAGTAGAGTCACCCACTTGGAGTGAAAGAGTTTGATTACGCCTCCTAGGCCTCCCAAATACACTGAAGCTGTGAAGAAACGAGACCCTGCACAAATGCTGCTCCCCTCAGGTGTAAGATCTATGTCACTGTGGAGTCATTGGCCCACACTGGACTACGAGCTCCCATCTGCTCCCAGGCCCACCAGGGCTACTGCCGCACAGCCCGCCCCACACAGGGGCCTTGAAAGTCATCTCATCTGTGCTGAGAGGTAAGCGGTGTCCTGAGCTCTGGGCTGGCGTGAGTCCACCTGCCTGGCTGAGCCGGCATGAACACAGCTCTGAAGCTCAAAGCTTCCCCGCCCTCCTGGCACCTGGAAAGCTCAGTTACCGCTTCTCAGCCTGGAGCTCTTATCTGTCACTTGACTCCTGCTTCTTCCTTTTAGTCGGCTACCCAGTTTTTGTTTCTTTCTAAATGTGTGAGTTCTCAGCTGCCTCTGCCTACTGTTCTGCAAAGTGAGAGCACCTGGGACCGGCCTGTCAGGCTGGCGTGACATCTCAAAGAAACCAGGGAGAACAAACTTTTCATACAGTGGCATGGATCTGCTTGAACAGGCAGGCTCCTTACCTTGCTCTTGTTTGAAGAGAATACTGTACTGAAAAAGAACAGAAGCCACAATAAGCCACCGCTCAGATGCTGGCCATCCCACACTGCTCCTGGAGTTCCCCAAGGGGATTGAGTCTGCTGTGCTAGCCTCTCCCTCTGCCACTGCCTGGACAGCCTGACAGGTCGAGCCAGACTCGTACAATCACCATCAGAAAAAAATCAATTCTTAAAGATACTGATGTTTCCCACTCGACTACTGCCACCCCCTATGCCCACAGAAGGCCAAGAAATTGTTTTCCTTTTCCACTCTGATCACTCAGGAGTCCAGTTTGCAGTTGTACAAGGCTGCACAGCCTGTATAACTCGTTACTTTTGTCGCTGATTATATTTGAAAGTGGTTTCTCCTGTTCCTGATCTTTGTATTTGTGTACAAATTCTTTTAAATTACCTCAGTCTCTCTCTACTCTGTGGTGAAGGCTAAATAAACAAATTCTGCTCTTAGTCTGCATTTTACCTATGCCACTGAACCCTGTTGTGACTAGGTACCCAGGGCCACCCAGCTCTTTAGAAAGAGGGCAAGAGTTCAATGCTATCTTCCCGACTCCATACCAGACAACCTACTGGAGCTGAATTTGCCAAAGAGACCAACCAATGTTCTTCCCCTCAACACATGCCTTACCTGGTTGGTCATGTCCTCAACCAAGGCGAAGGGCTAAAAGCCAGACAGCTCTGTGGAAACAACACCAGAGTTTCAATAAGGTGTTGTCAGGGCAGAGGGGGCTACAGGAAGTCCTCTTCACTGAGACAAGATGAGCCTTTGCTAAGGAGCTGCTCTGACAACTATCAGTCCCTGGGATCCTTTCACAGGATCTGCCAAGCCGTGTGGTCTTCTTTCTCCCAGAGACTCAACACTGCCCCCATCAGGTGGATTCTTCTCCCCAACTCTTGCCAGGCTCTGTCCCTTGCTGCTCTTTAGAGACAAAATGCAGATATTAGATAATATTTATCCACTCAGCAAGCAAACTTTCAGGAGTCCAAAAAAGGAAAGGTTCTTACAGTCCATGTAGAAGTCCTTTTTTTGGGTTTTTTTTTCCGGTACCGGGAATTGAACTCACGACCTTCCGCTTGCCAGGCAGGCACTGTGCCGCTGAGCTAAATCCCCAGCCCCTATGTAGAAGTCTTAACCAAAAATGCTTTGAGGACCTACACATAAAGGGCTGAGGGGAGATAAGACTTCCAAAACATATTAAAAGAACCCAACTTAAACATAAACCTAACTTAAAGAATAGATTTAATTTCTCCAGCTACACTAAGGGTTCTGTGTGTGTGTGTGTGTGTGTGTGTGTGATGGAAACTGGGTTGAACCCAGGGCCTTTGCGCCAAGCTATATGCCCAGCACCCCACCCCTACCCCTTTTAAAATTTTGAGACAGGGTTTTGCTAAATTGCCTAGGCTGGGCTCAAACTTGATACACTTCTGCCTTGGCCTCTCAGAGTGCTGGGATTATAGGCACCCAATACCACACTTGGCTATGTTCTTAATATTGTTTGTGCAAAGACCCCTCTAGCAGACTTGAAAAGGGTGTACACCCTTTTGCTGGATATTTTCTTTTGTTTGTTTGTTTTGTTTTTTTTTTTGTTTTTTTTCCAGAACCAGGAATCAAACTCACGACCTTGCACTTGCCAGGCAGGCGCTGTGCTGCTAAGCTAAATCCCCAGCCCCTTGCTGGATGTTTTTAAGAAAGGAAGGCCGGCGATATAGCTCAATGGAGAGCACTTGCCTAGCATGTACCAGGCCTGCAGTTCAAACCTCAGCACAACCAAAGAAAGAAAGAAAGAAAGAAAGAGGGAGGGAAGGAGGGAGGGGGGAGGGAGGGAAGGAAAGAAGGAGGGAGAGAGGAAGGAAGGAAAGAAGGAAGGAAAAGAAGGGAGAAAGAAAGGTAAGAAAATACAGTGAGTTCTCACTATTCATGGCAGTATGTTCTATAAAGTCTCCACAAACACTAAATTAGCAAATAATAAAAAAGCTCTTCATGGAAGCCCAGGATTAGTTCTTAAATCCTCTGATCACAATATTTTTGTCAAATGATCAATAGATAAGCATGTTTTGTGCTTCTGTTTAATAAAGGCATCCTATTGAATATACATTAGTACTGTAATTCATTCATATTGAATTCATGCCTATTATGGTTTGTGTCCAGATGTCTCCCCCAAAGCTTCATGCAGGGCTTATTCAGAAGTGGCTGAATCTAGAGTGTGTGATGCTGGGACTGAGGGTGAGTGATCAGTCTACTGATTGATTTGGTACCACCCTAATCCCAGTAGCCTAGATAGAGTATAAAAGGGGCAGAAATACACTGTTAAGGCCCCTTGTTGCTTTGCTACAGTCTGCCAGCTATGAGCTGCTCTCCTCTTCTAAGCCACTCTGCCTTGAAGCCAGCCAATTATGGACTGACACCTCTACAAACTGTGAGCTTCCCTCCCTTAACTTTGGGTGTCAGGTATTATGTCTCAGCAATGAGAAAAGTAACTAAGACAATGCCAAACACATATATTTTCTCCATAAGACACATCACAACCTGCTTGCACTCAGGAACACTGGACAACACTTTAGCACTATTCTCTAGGGTTATCTTAAACATAGAGTATAAAAAACAAACCTACATGGAGTCTCCATCAAAAAAGCACAAAATTGCAAAAGGCATGGCACCAAACAGAGCACTTGTTTATAGCATGAGCGTGGGAACAAGGCAGAGTGCCAGCTGAGAGCTGAACATCAGACAAATTTTTCACCACTTTGCACATGGAATCCAAAGAATACAAAAGTTTTGCAAGTATTGTCTTTGAAGGTGTAAATAAATTTTAGGAAGCAGAATCCATGAATACTAAGGACAGACTATTAAAATATAATTTTATCAAAACAGGGAAACTAAATTTGTGAGGTGTAAACTACATGCTTTATTAACACATTACACAAGATCTAGCAGCAGGTCTACTAACTACCACAATTTCGAAATGAGATGAACTTAAACATCCTGATAAACTATCTGTAAGCCGGGCGTTGTGATGCACACCTGTAATCCCAGCACTCATGCCTGTAATCCCAGCACTCACACCTGCAATCCCAGCATTCAGGAGGCTGAGGCAGGAGGATCATTGTAAATTCAAGACCAGCCTGGGCATCCAAGTGAGTTCAAGGTCAGCTTGAGCTACATAGCTAGACCCTGTCTCAAAAATACAAAAAAAAAAAAAAAGAAAGAAAGAAAGAAAGAAAGAAACTACCTGTAATTTCCATTCATAACAAACACACTGATTACTGTGGCTTGTTGCCTAAATTCATAATGGAAGAAAATGCTAAATTTCAGTCAAAGATTACGGAACAAAAGGGTGGGTGCAATTTTTCTTCTTACCCAAGTTCATGGCCCCTTCAATCGTATCCACAGAGAGCTCGAGATAATACAGCTAAGACATCCAAGTTCATGTTACTTGCTTTAAATTTGCAAACCCAAAAAGGCTACCAAAGGGTTTCTAAGAATAACAGAAATCTCAAACAAATGATTTCTAAGTAATCCTTGCCAATAGAGATCTTAATCAGGTGGCCAGTGGTCTACTCTTTTGTGACCCAAGAACAAGGTCTTGCCAGGATAGAGACAGAAAAGAATTCGAACCAATTCTGCTGAAACAAACAGCACACAAGCTCTGCTTGAGCTCTAGCCCTCTGCCCAGTGAAGCACAGGCTTAACCTCTTCCCTGTCAATCTGGGCTTCGCATTTGACAAGGGAGAGAAATAATCACAAAGAAGGTAAGAAGACTTTCTTGAAGGCAACTTCCAAAAAGGCAGCTTCCCCAAGACTGGGTTTGATGGTAGAATGAGTGCACATTTGAGGACGCACTATGAATCAGGTCCTATTTTATTTTACTTATTTATTTATTTTTGAGGTTAAGAGCAGAATATATTTATTGAGGGAAAGAAAGCTTCTGTCCAAGAGAGAGACAGAAGGGGGCCCGGGTGGGTTACCCCCAGGTCCTATTTTAAACACGACACATACATTAGCTCATTCAACCCCCATTTAGTAGGTACATTTATTATTATCTCTACTTTCTTCATAAGAAACGTGTGGCTTAGAGAGATTAAGGAAGCTTCCCCAAGGTCAGCCTGACATTTGAAGGTGAAGAAAAGCAATAGCCCACGCTACCAAGATGCCTCATCTCTTACTCCAGCATCTTATCTCATGACAGGTAACTTCAGAGCTAAGAGACCCCGAAGCCTTTTTTCTGGCTACCTTCTCTCCTTGGGAGACTCTCCTCTAATTTTTCCCAGAGAGAATTCATTGCTCGTTCCTCAGAGTTTCCGAAGAGCACACACATGCCTCTGTTAAAGCTCTCAAACACGTCAATAACCTGCGATACTACACGGTACTTAAGGAGCGCCTAGCCTTTGCTTGTTGGTGTTCAGTGCCAGAGAGCTCGGTACCTAAAAGCCGGGTGCAATACGGGGACCTTCGGGTAAGATAGTCCTACGGTCTCCGGGGAGGACTCTCCTGCAGAGAAGCCGGCCCCACCCTCGGGGCTGCACCGAGCGTCCCCAAGATGCACGATCAGGCCACCTCCTGGCCTTCCCTGTCCCCGGCAGCGCGCCACGAGTACGCAGGGTATACGGAGACGGAACCCATCCTCCAGCCCCACATCCCTAAACAAACCTCTCAGAGGTAGCCTCTGGCCCACCCTGCCCAGCTGCCCTCGGGTTCTGGCCGTCAGCCGCCCCCATGACCACCATCCCTAACCTCCGTGAGGACCCACTCACCGCGGCACTTCTGACGTCAGGCTGGAGCGACAGCGGCGCACAGAGATGAGCCAGGCAGAGCCGCGGACTCTGAGCCCGGGCGGGAGGCCACGCCCTTCCCCTTCCGAGGTCACGCCCCGTTCCTTCTCTCCGAAGCAGAACCGCTGGGAACCCGCCCCCCTCAGCGCAGGCGCGGGGAGCTCAGCAAACGCAGGCTCAGATGCACAGGAGGAGGTGGGGTGGGGGGAGGTTAAGTTCTGCTCCTTGGCGCAGGGGTCTGGCTGCCGGGACCCTACCCCTCGTAGCTTGCTGGTGGCTTCCAGAGTTCTGTTGCTTTTCCAACTGCCAGCCAAGGCTTATGAGGGTGTCCAGTGTCTCTTTAGTAGGTCATTAGAACATTATTAAACAATGAGATGGAAGGGACGCAACCAATACGCCATCCTCTACCTTTTCGCCCTTTCCGCCCTTTCTGGCTTTTAGTCCCTCTCGCTTCACAGGATCCAGTTGGTCAGGAGCATCTTGAGGTCTGTGATGGTCGTGTTGATTGCCGAGGACTCAGGCTGTTTGCACTCACCAATCAGATCCCTCAAGTCCATCCCCCGGTGCTTAGTGTCCCCTGAATGACACTGTGTCTGTGGAAACTCCATCCAAGGTCAGAGAGGATCACCCGCATGTCGCTGGCTTAGAAAATAGAGTGAAAATGAGCAGACTGAACTGTCAGAATTCCTACGTGGCGACTCCCTAAGAGTGCACATTCCTTGGCTGTCTGAGTGTGTCTGACCAAGGACACCTGTCCTGGAGAAGGAAGATACACAGTTGCACTGTGAGGCCAGGGAGCTTCCTTCAAATGGGCCATTCATTCCACACACTGATCTCAGTGCCAGGGGACCCTGGTGTCAGACACACCCAACAAAAACAAACCCACACAATGGGCTTGCAACGCTGGACCTCAATTCTCACGGTATAGAAAGCACTTCCGCCCGCAGACTAGTCGCTTTGAACAGTGACATGAATGGTCTGGTGCCTTCCTGTGTAACCTGCTACCTTGGTTTTGCTGACTTTACCCTACTGTCGTGGGGTTTCTCTGAGTTTGGAAACAGAATAGTTATCCTTTGACCTCTCCCAAACCAAGATATCTGGGCCATTTTCTAGCTTTTGAATATAAAGAAGTAATTTTTGAAAGCCCCACACTTTAAGAATGGCTACATTTTGGCTACTGAAAGTACAACTCTATGACTATGTTTTAGTTTGTGTGACTCAGGCTTATATGGGTTTTTACTATCTGTACACTAAATATTCTACCTCCAGATTATTCTAAAAGCACACTGATCATTTTATGCCTTTTAATTCCATCTGCTACTCAAATGCTAAGGCTTTCCCCTTCTTCATACTTGCATACAAATGTGCTATTATTAATTTCCAAATGAAGTAAGTTGTTTTGGATAAAATTTAAGTTAATTACCTCAAATTTTTAATTATCCTAAAAATTTAAGTTAATTACCTTTTCCTTACCTACATTAAAGAAAACCGAATAAAAGATCTAAGTATGCACCATGCATCATAAACATACATCATGTTTCATAAAAATGGTTTCACTTCTTTAGGTCTTGGATCACAAAAGAAAATCTATTTCTTGCCATGAGTCATGGCCAAAAAGTTTGGAAATCATTGCAAAAAAGGCATTCTAAAGACTTTCTAGTTCTATATTTATGACAAGAACTCCAAAAAATTTTTTTGAGACATGGTCTCTTATGTTCAAATCTTATTTTTAAAAGAAGATGTATTAAGCAATTGGTATATTCTTAGCATTGGAACTGTGAATTATCCAATTATATCATAGATGTCTTTGGTATCTGATGAACATTGTAAATTTTTTTT